AGGACAGAGACGGCTGCAGAGAGGACAAGGACAGAGACGGCTGCAGAGAGGACAAGGACAGAGACGGCTGCAGACAGGACAAGGACAGAGACGGCTGCAGTCAGGACACGGACAGAGACGGCTGCAGTCAGGACACGGACAGAGACGGCTGCAGACAGGACAAGGACAGAGACGGCTGCAGAGAGGACAAGGACAGAGACGGCTGCAGACAGGACAAGGACAGAGACGGCTGCAGACAGGACAAGGACAGAGACAGCTGCAGTTGGGTTATTTTAATCTAAAGGGATAGTTGGGTTATTTTAATCTAAAGGGATAGTTGGGTTATTTTAATCTAAAAGGGATAGTTGGGTTATTTTAATCTAAAGGGATAGTTGGGTTATTTTGTGAGGTGGTCAGCAGCAGCTGAAACGGTCAGAGAGCAGCAGAAGTCTTCATCCAGGCTCGGCTGATGAATAACCAAACGAAGGCAGGTTTTCATTTTGTTTTTCAAATAAAGGTTTTTAAAACTGAATTTCTTTGGACATGACTGCTGCATGATGGGAGTTGTAGTTTGTTCTAGTGTCACGCCAGTGGAAGAACTACAGCACACAGAACCAATGAATGCTGGGAAAACATATAAAAACAAAAAAAAACCACAGAAGTAACAAATAAATAAACAAACAAACATTAAGACATTACTAAGTATGTTTTAATACCCAAAATGTAAAATCTGCATTTTAAGACTTTTCTAAAAGGTCTAAAAATCAATATTACTAAATTTAAGTATTTTTTAAACGGACTTATATTTGGCTAACACTTAGCCTAGCCTGGATGAAGACTTTTGCCTCCTCCTCCGTCCTCTGTGACTGATGTCACAGATCCTAATCGTTGATAAACATTAGACAGAACATCGTTTTAAAATGACCAGCCTATCCCTTTAAGGTAATGTTACAAAGTAAAGAACGACTTAAAGAATAAATCCCATTTTCTTCATGTCTGTTAGCGCTGCGTGAAGCGGAGTCGTCATTAGTAAACTGTGGTTGTTCTTCCACTGCGGGGAGTCAAGAAACAGCTCGTCTGCGAAACAACATCACAACACAAAGAGCATCAAGAGTTATTTTTAACTAGGAACATAATTAAAGTGTTCAAAGCTTGAATCTAAACAGTTATTCACCGTAGGCCCACAGAAACAACAAGTCATTCAAGGCCTAACATTCATGGCTCTAAAAAGTTTAAATTTATAAGTTTATTTTCCAGATTTCAACTCACAAATTAAAATTATTTTCATAGTGATCTGGTCCAGTTTACCGTCTCCCCTGCATGTTGTGAGCATAAATTAAAAAATAAACGAGGTCGTTTCGGCCTTGGCTCAGTACCTTCACAGTGTAAGCGGACTTGAGTTGGAAGACACCTGGTGGGGTCGGCGTATTCCAACGTGCAGAGCACGGGCGACTTTTCTCTCTGCGCGCTGAACATCAGGACCAGCACCGAACACAAAACGTTACTGTCCATCACTTCCACAGACTCGTGCTGCTCCTGAAAACAAGCGAGAGGAAGGCGTCATGGAACATTTATGGAACCCAATCTGAATGTCTGAATCAAAAGGAGGGGGCACCTTAACGAGCTTCAGCTGCTGCCTGCGGCCAGCAAATGCATTGAGACGTTGACTGAGCTGGTCCAGAAAAGCCCTCAGGCCCGTCTGCAGGTCGCTCTGCTCACAGAGGGCGTTTAACGGGATGAAGGGGGGCACATTGTGACGACCGACCCTCACTTTTGGCTTGAAGTCTATTTCCAGGTTGTAGGTGTCCAAATAGACCCCCTCGTAGGCAGTCGCCAGAGTCACACACACTCCTCTACCCTGACGAGTGTTTATGATGTCATACCCACCTGGGTAAATCAACTGAGTTAAAAGAGAAACCCACAGAGATCTAACAATGTGTGCTAAATAAAATCATCTGTACCAATGAGGTGATGAGCGTGCAGGAGCTCTGTCAGCTCTAAATGTCTGGCCATCAACAGCAACAACTCCGAGCTCTCTTCCTCCATCCTCTCCTCGTCTTCCTCTGCACCCAGCCTGTCCTCAGACGACCTCAGTCTCTGCAGACTCTGTGATCCGGAGGAGCTTCATTCAAATTCTCACAAACAAACTAATTGGGTTGATACAACAGCTAAACTTTTAAGTGAATCCCGTGTAGTTCTCACATTATATGTTGAAGATGACTCTCGGCTACTACCAGGCCGCATTTTAGCTCCATTTAGCTGAATTAAAGTCAGTTGTGTGTTTTCTAAGGTCTCGGGTGTGGCAGCCATCTTGAACTGGGTCGGCTCTAAAAGTTGTACATGTATAGATAATTGTTTCCCGAAACGTCATAAAATTAGGCCAGTGCTTCATGAGATATTTTGCTAACAGACACAGGCAGAAGTCTACATAAACACCAGAGGTCTTCTTACTTTATGTGTCTGTAGCTCTGCCTTTAGCTGCTCTCTCTGAGCTTTCAGCGCTTCAACTTTAGCCTTTAGCTGCTTCACACGACTCTGCAGCTGAGGCCGACTTCCTCGGCTTCTTGCTCGAGCTTCCAGCAGACTTAGATGACTCAAAACACCTGCGAATAATAAGATTTATATTATTAACTAATGCTAAGTGCGGAAGAATTAATTTTTCTTGGAACAAGCAGAAAGGACGGTATAAACAGAAAAAGCTAGAAATCAGGTTAAACTAGCAAAACCATAGCTAAAAGCTAATATGAGCGAGACATACAGCGGCTAAAAGGGCAGCGAAAACAAAACGACAGTAACAGACAAAATGCACAAAGTACTGGTTTATAAATATAATAAAAAACGGAATAGACTTTAATAAAAGAGTGAGCAGCTGAAACAGCTGAAGCTGATGAACAGCGAGACTAACGTTAGCATCACAGTTAGCATCACAGTTAGCGGTGTAGCTAATTAGCTTAGCAGCTTCAGACGAACCTTTTGTGGACGCTCCTTCCATGTTTCTGCAGCCTCCCGATGATTTCCAGACTCTTTCTGCTAAATGATGAAACTCACACGTTCGTGTTCTCTTTTTTGATTTTGGCGGCTACGCGCTACTTCCTGCTACGTCTGTGAATGGCGTTGTATGGCAAGCCGTTGTAACATAAAATGGAATCAGCTCGCCACCAATGTTGGCACCCTCTTCCGGTGTTTATGAAGCCGTAAAGGTTGGTGTAGTCGCGCACTGCAGATTTGAACTCGAGCATCCAAATCTAAAAGTTAAAAACTTTAAAAGTTAAGTTTTAAAAGTTAAAAGAACAACACAACGGAGTTTCAATTAGAAAATCAATTCCTAAGTTTTTTCATCCAACCTTTATTTATTTAGTCTCATTTACAAGAGAGACCTGTTAAACCTGTTAGACCTGTTATAGATGGATAGATAGATAGATAGATAGATAGATAGATAGATAGATAGATAGATAGATAGATAGATAGATAGATAGATAGATAGATAGATAGATAGATAGATAGATAGATAGATATTCATTAATTAATTCAACTTTTATTTAAACAGGTTAATCCCTTTGAGTCTCGGGGACTCATTTACAAAAGAGACCTGATGGATGGATGGATGGATGGATGCATGGATGGATGGATGGATGCATGGATGGATGGATGCATGGATGGATGCATGGATGGATGGATGGATGCATGGATGGATGGAAATTAAAAAGCTGCAGAACTGTGGCAAACATTATCAAAGCAGATGATGAATAAAGTTAAAACAAGGAAATTACTGCATGTGGCTAAAGTTGAAAAACAAGCCAAAATTAGCAAAACTGTAGATAAAAAAAAGTTTAACAGATTTTAAATTACAAAAACTTTATCCATCCATCCATCCATCCATCCATCTTTTTAAAAGCATAAAATATTCAAAATGAGTTTAATTGCAGAATAAACTGTACACCGGAAATGAAAAATCTTCCTCCCTTAGATAACTTTTACTAATTGTATTTTGTTTGTATGTGAACGTTTCTCTTCAGTCCCTGAGACAACTCCTGTTGTGAGTCGGCGCTATATAAATAAACAGGTTGCGCGTGTATTTTATTATATGATGAGTCTGCTTGCCCTAAACCCGGAAGTGACAGTAATCACGTGGAGTCGAGAGCAGATTAGGTCAGTGTGTTGTGGGTTACAGCAGCGATTTATGGTCAGAGAAGGAAACTTTCTACAAGACGTGACTTCTACATCGCTGAGAGCTCTTGTTCACCCATTAAAACCAGTTTGAAGGAGCTCTTTACGTGTGAAGGAGACTGACAGGACCTCCGTCAGTGCTGCCCCCCCTGCAGGTAGCTCTGTTTATGTCTTTGTTGTTGTTTATGTTTGTTGTTTATCAGTTGCATTTCTTACTTCATGTTTAAAGTGCAGCTTCTGCCAAATAACTAGTGTCACTAAAGGTATTTTATAGTAACATTATCATTATTTAATAATAATAATATTTACAGTATGTGAAAGTTGTGTATTTAAAGATGTGTCTTGTTAATGTTTTTGTTTTGGCTGCTCCTTTCTGCAGGGCTTTCCAGTTGTTTTAGTCCAGATGGCCTTTCTCAACCAACATGGAGCCTCGGGGTTACAAGACTGCAGCTGCCTCGGTTCAAGGATGTAAGAAGTTTAAAAACAAACAGCCGGACTTCTGTCCTGTAGTTCAGCACTTCCTGCATGAGGAGCTTCTTCAGTTCAGAAGTGCAGAGTGAAGTTTCAAGCTTTAAACTGCTGAAATACTCTGGTTTAAACTGGATGTGCTGATTAATGTCCCCCCTCCCTCCTGAGGGTCGTTAGGGCCTTAGTTTGACTGGCTTACTGGATGTTTGCTCGCCTGCATGAAGGTATTAAACAGGTATTAAACTATGATGACATGGTAGTAGCTGAGAGTAATGAACAGCACAAACTCTGAACACGACACCTCACGATATTGTGTGTGAGCGTAACAGTGTTTTAATATTTGACTAAAATGGCAACAATTTCTTCGTCATTTTGTTTTGTGGTGAAGTCTAGATGTGAGAAGGGTCACTATGGAAAATTAGGATGTCACATCAAAATCTAAGATGGCTGCCGTCATATACACATGAAAACCAACCACCCTGTCCTTTGAGGAATACGTGCTTTCTAGTTTTTATATTGCTTAAAAGTATAGCTTCCTCACATGACTAGGGTGGCCAAAGATGACTCTTATTTTGGCCAAGGCCACCATTGGCCACCCCCTGGCTCCGCCCCTGGTGGTGGATAAAATTGCTCTTTGACTTGCTGGGATCTGTCGCTCTGGGGACATCGGTGATCTTTGTCTAAAACTCAGAAAGGTGGTGGATGATTTGCATTTCATCAAGGAATGCTACAGTTGAGTTATTTAAATGATATTTATAATAATTATATGGAAGAGAACTTGGAGAGGTGCAGGTATGCACTTGAAAGAAGAGGAATGAAAGTCAGTCATAGTAAGACAGAGTCCATGTGTGTGGATGAGAGGGAGGAGGTGGAACAGTGAGGCTACAAGGAGCAGAGGTCACAAAGGTGCAGGACTTCAAGGACATGGGGTCCACTGTCCAGGAACATGGGGAGTGTGGTGAAGAAGTGAAGAAGAGAGTCCAGGCAGGATGGAGTGATGGAGAAAAGTTTCAGGAGTGATTTGTGACAAAAGGGTGTCAGCAAAGATCAAAGGAAAAGTTTACAAGACAGTGGTGAGACCAGCTCTGTTGTATGGTCTGGAGACAGAGACATGGACAAAAAGACAGGAGACAGAACTGAAAGTGTCAGAAATGAAGATGTTGAGGTTCTTCTTAGGAGAGACAAGGATGGAGAAGATCAGGAATGAGATCATCAGAGGTACAGCACAGGTTGAACAACTGGGAGATGAAGTTAGAGAGGACACACTGAGATGGTTTGGACATGTCCAGAGGAGGGACAGTGGTTTGGACATGTCCAGAGGAGGGACAGTGGTTTGGACATGTCCAGAGGAGGGACAGTGGTTTGGACATGTCCAGAGGAGGGACAGTAGGTCTATTGGTATGACGTTAGAAATGTAGCTGCCAGGAAAAAGACAAAGAGGAGATCTATGGATGTAGTTAGAGAGGACATGGAGGTAGTTGGAGTGAGGACAGAGGACACAGAGGACAGAGTGAGATGGAGGAGGAGTTTCTGTGAAGGCCCCTGAAGAGGGAAAAGCTGAAAGAAGATTTAAAGAAATTGTAATATAATTATATAATTTATGTTTTTTTTCTGTTTTATTCACTGATTTGATGCTAAAAGTCCAGAACAGTTTCAGTTTGTCACTTTTAAAGTCATTTTGTTTGATGTTTCCTGAGAAGAACCAGTTTTTGCTGTTGAGTTTATCTGACAAACCCCCTCCTCTGTCCCGTTGCGCTTGCTGATCAGTAACCTTCACCGTTCCCAGAGACGTATCTGTCTGACGCCGCTGGGAGGTCGTCTGAGCCGCGTGTTATGACGTCGGTTATATTTATGGGTCAACGCGGGCGGAGGTGACCTGAGCCGACCTCAGTTATTCTACAAGAGGTTTCACTTCACAGGAAGGTTTGTTGTGCAACAGAGACACGAGTGACTGCATTTACTGTACTAATGGAAGAAACCATGCATGTCCCCCCGGAGGGAGACATTTATCCACCACCAGGTGCAGTGGTGGAGCCAGGGGGTGGCCAAAGGTGGCCTTGGCTAGCATAGACTAATATTCAGCCACCCCAGTTATTTGAGTGAACTATATGTTTAAACAAAATAAAAACTAGAAAGCATCTTCTTCTTTCGGCTGCTCCTTCTTCAGAGGTCACCTCAGTGAACTAACTCACACGAAGACTTGGCAAATGTTTTTACTCCGGATGTCCTTCCTGACGCAACCAGACCGCCAAGCTACCACGTCCTCTGTGTGGAGCAGAGAGCTGCCATCTAGGGCGCCTGGGGGAGCAGATGGTGGGGGTTAAGGGCCTTGCTCAAGGGCCCTTCCACATTAAATGAATAACTCGTCAGCATCCTGATGCATGCATCCCGGTAGATGAATCTGACAAAGTAAAGTCAGGTCCTCTGGAAGGATTCTTCTTGTTGAAACGTTTCGTCTTTTATCCAAAGGACTTCTTCAGTCTGAGGAGCTGCAACTGACTCAGTCTGATAAATATCACCTTCTCATGGTGGATCAACCAGTTTGTTGTTGACATCCAGAACTAGCTGTTCACGTGATGGAGGACCATCAGCCTAACGACTGATTGTTAGTGCTCTGATGGCCGCTTGCTATTCACAGGGGGTTGAGTGATACTAACAATAACAGCGTTGTAGGGGGTGGGGTACAGTTGGATACGGAGGCTCCGCCCCTGTTTAATGATGGACGGGTTCTCTTCACAAAGATTTACTCCTCTCTCAAGCCATCGTTCCTCCATCCAGGATGTGAACGTCTTCATCCCAGAGTGACCTTTGACCTGCAGATGAGTTTGGGCCGATCAGTAAATTACACGTCTTTAATTGGATTAACTGTGAAAAGTAATTTGTTGTAGATTTTAATGAAAGTTTCATCAAAATCCTTCCAGGTGTTTATGAGATTTTAACCTTCTGCCTTTGCCTTTTGGCAAAGATATTCATATTTCTCTATTTTGTGTTTTCCGTTAGGCCTCTGGACTGTTGGCTCATGGGCGTGAGCAGAAGGGTTTCCTGTTAGTGTAAGCGTACAGGAGCACCGACCCCCCAGCCCGGAGGCGCTCAGGATGGACCTGGTCAAGCAGAACCGCTTCTCCGTTTTGGACTACGTCATATTTGCGGTTTTGCTGGCGGCCTCTGCGGGCATCGGGCTGTACTACGCCCTGTCGGGGGGGCGGCAGCGCACCACGCAGGAGTTCCTGATGGCAGACAGGAGCATGCGCTGCCTCCCCGTTTCCCTGTCCCTCATCGCCTCCTTCCAGTCGGCCGTGGCCATCATCGGAGTCCCAGCGGAGGTCTACACCCACGGCACTCAGTACTGGTTCATCGGCTGCGCTTATGTTTTAGGACTTTTAATCCCGGCTCACGTTTTCGTTCCGGTTCTGTACAGACTGCGCCTCTCCAGTGCTTACCAGGTCTGCAGAAAGTTCTTGAAGGCGTCAGCGACAAATGTGCTTCTCTAACCTGCAGCTTCATGTTTTGTTTCAAAGTATCTTGAGCTGCGCTTCAGTAAAGCCGTGCGCATCTGTGGAACGCTGACCTTCATCTTTCAGATGGTGAGTTCAACCTTCAGTCTGTCTTCAGTTTGTTTTGAATCATGAAATAATAAGCCCACTTCTGACACATTTGAAGATCTAATTAAAACACATTTTATTCAAAATGGGACACAGAATTGTTTAAAACAAGAAAATATACTTTTTCTTTGAAAATATAAGGTAGTTGTGAATGTGATGGCAGCAGCACATCTGTAAATAAAGCGTTTGGAGAGGATGAACCTCTCAGACGTAAAGATGGGCGGAGGTTCAGCAGCTCTGTCTAAAACCTGTGGGGAAAACGAGCAGGGATTTAAATAAATGGCTGGAAAGACTTAAATCTGCCAGGAGGGTTTTGCATGATGAACAGATTTTACACCAAAGCACTTTAAAAAGAACGGTCCACATCACTGAGTCACCGGGGACGGTCTTCTCTGCCTTAACGTTGCTGAAGAGGCAGAAACTTCTCAGGTAACACCGTGAGCGTCACCACCTCCACCTCTACAGTTTGTTTGTTGGAGCCATCGGTTACGTTTCAGTGTGGGCGGAGCCATCTTACCGTTCGTTCATGGATTTATTTGTGCGTACGCTGTGTTCTCGATTTAAGCGTTCGCCTTGTTTCAGAAGGAAATCCACACAAGTATTTGTACACGAGGGTCCAGGGCTCGGTCCACTTCACAGCCGGTCACTTCGTACTCTGCACCAGCAGGGGGAGCAAACCACAAAGAACAATTAGTCCCATCCACATGTGGCAAAGATCAGTGCCAGCCTTCCTCCTGGTACCCACTATAGAATATCCATACATCCATACATCCATACATCCATACATCCATACATCCATACATCCATCCATACATCCATACATCCATCCATACATCCATCCTTCCTTCCTTCCTTCTTTCCTTACTTACTTACTTACTTACTTACTTACTTACTTACTTACTTATTTACTTACTTACTTACTTACTTACTTACTTACTTATTTACTTACTTATTTACTTAATTTACTTACTTAA